AAAAAAAAAATCTATGTTGTAGTTATTTACTTACTAAAACTTTATGATATTCCCATATATATTTGCCTCTAGTCTTCAGACACTATACCAGGGGTCCTCAAACTTTTTAAACAGGGGGCTAGTTCACTGTCCCTCAGACCATTGGAAGGCCGGACTGTGGGCCCCGGGACCAGTCGGCTGCTAAGTAGGACAGGCAGCAGTGGCAAAAACACCTGGAGGGCCAGATAAATGTCCTAGACAGGCTCCATGTGGCCTGTGGGCTGTAGTTTGAGGATGCCTACTATAAACAATGAACACTGATGTAGATACCAATTAGACATTTCCAATTTAGGTAAAAAACATTTTTTTAAGATGTTAATTGGGTTAGTTTATGCTTTTAACTTTGCCTATATTTTACTTGAGTTTTTATAATGACAGTTTTCTTCTGTGCTTCATATTTAAATCATTGAAGAGGTTCAGTGCCTGTAGCACAGTGGTTACGGCACCAGCCACATACATCAACGCTGGCTGTTTGAACTCAGCCTGGGCCAGCTAAACAACAATAACATCTGCAACAAAAAATAGCTGAGTTGGCTCGTAGCTCAGTGAGTAGGGTGCCAGCCACATACATCACCAAGGCTGGTGGGTTTGAGTCCAGCCCGGGCCTGCTAAGCAATAGTGACAACTGTAACCAAAAAATAGCCGGGTATTGTGGCCGGCACCTATAGTCCCAGCTACTCGGGAGGCTGAGGCAAGAGAATTGCTTAAGCCCAAAGAGTTGGAGGTTACTGTGAGCTGTGATGCTACAGCACTCTACCAAGGGCAACATAGTGAGACTCTGTCTCAAAAAATAAAGTAAAATCATTGAAGAAAATATTCAAAGTAATTTTGTATCTGACCTTCTGAAAACAAATATGATAATGACATTGATCTTTTCAGATAAACTAGTATTGTTTTCTTTCCAGCTGCATTCCAGTCCATGATGACAGGAGGTAACATTGGAAAGCAGATCGTTTGCATTTCAGAAGAAATCTCTTTGTAGTCTCTGTGAATGTCTTCATCAAGGAAATCACAGATTTCTTTCTATTTTGCAAAAGGATTTTCCAGATACATTTTTTTTTAAAACCTTAGAATACAGATAGGTCTTGAATCACATCACATGGTCATATGAGTATTACTTTCTTAGTTGCATAATTCTTTCCTATATCTTAAATATCATCTATGTACTGTAAACCAAAATATAATTATTTGTAATAATTGAAATTAACAAGATTTTTTTCTTTTTGGCGAAAACTAATATTACATATTTGTATTGGACATTCTGGGACTTGGGTGGTGCCTATAACTCAGTGAGTAGGGCACTGGCCCCCACATACCGAGGGTGGCAGGTTTAAACCGGCCCTGGCCAAATTGCAACAAAAAAAGTACCTGGTCATTGTGGCAGGTGCCTGTGGTCCTAGCTACTCGGGAGGCTGAGGCAAGACAATTGCCTAGGCCCAAGAACTGGAAGTTCCTGTGAACTGTGATGCCGCGGTACTCTTCTGAGGGCGACAAAGTAAGACTCTGTCTCTTTAAAAAAAAATAAAAACTGTTAATGGACTTTACACCATAGAG